GTGCGTGTGAGCGCTGTTTATCCTGTTCTTACTCTCCATCCGCTTTGACCCCCCCCATGCGCGCCTTTCCGCCATAAACTATCAATATGGGTGGCACCATTCAAGGTACACAGGGACAGCGGGTCTTCGCGAAACGAGGGCAGCCGGTGGTCCCCGAGATGTGCTCCACCTCGCGAGAAAACTGCACGAGCGTCACTAGCATCAACGCGAACGGCGCCGTGTTGGCCCCTACCATCATCTCCAATGGGCAGCGCTTCAACGCAGATTGGATCGTGGACAACACCGGCCCGCCGGGTGCGACATATACCTGCAAGGAGTCGTCCTTCGTGTGTGGTAACGTTTTTATCAAGTACATCAAGGACTTCCACAAGCAGCTCTGCCTGCCCAACTTGCTCGACGGAGAATCCCATGCGCTCGTGCTGGATGGGCACGCGTCGCACGTGAGCTTGGACGTCGTTGAGTTGACCAGGTCCCTCGACATCCACCCGTCCAGCTGCCCTCCCACATGTCCCACGTCACCCAGCCCTTGGACGTCGCCGGCTTCGGGTGCTTCAAGATGGAGCTGACCAAGGCGATCCAGGCCTTCCCGGCGATACACGGAGGGGCATTGCCGCGGAAGCGGGACATGGCCACCGTGATCGGGGCAAGCGTTGAGCACGAGCTTTACCCCGGAAGTCAACAGGGCTTCCTTCGCCGGGGGCGGGCCTGTGGCCGGTGGACAGGGAGCGAGCACTCGGTCGGCTGCTGCGCTGCGTGGTGGAAGTGGTGATCTCACACGAATTGGCCAAGGGAGAAGTGTGTGTGATGACGTCACTGGTTTTATAAAGAGACGCGGCAGAGATGGCGCGGATAACCAGGGTAACTTGATTGTATACCTGCATGGTGGAAGACCCCTTCAATGTGGAACGATTCCTAGTCAGTGTCGCTGTTTACACTGCTGTGCCTAACACAGATGATCTGGATAGATTCGGGTGATTGTCAATTGCAGTGATGGCTTTGGTTGGGCGTTCTCCTTCATTGTATGTCCACGGACTCATTCTGACAGCACTTCAGACAGCAGATCCATGCCCCGCCGAGCTTGTGTACCATGCACCATGGTGTTATTATTGTATAGACAGCACTTCAGACAGCAGATCCATGCCCCGCCGAGCTTGTGTACCATGCACCATGGTGTTATTATTGTATAGACAGCACTTCAGACAGCAGATCCATGCCCCGCCGAGCTTGTGTACCATGCACCATGGTGTTATTATTGTATAGACAGCACTTCAGACAGCAGATCCATGCCCCGCCGAGCTTGTGTACCATGCACCATGGTGTTATTATTGTATAGACAGCACTTCAGACAGCAGATCCATGCCCCGCCGAGCTTGTGTACCATGCACCATGGTGTTATTATTGTATAGACAGCACTTCAGACAGCAGTAAGTACGCTGTAGTCGACAAACATTCCTTTTGGTTAATTGCGGGACAAGGGGGGTGATGCTGCTGCTGTAGTCGAATTGTAGTGTGTGGGCGTGTAGTTCAGTTGTGAGCACGCAAACGTGCTGCAGGGATTGCAGGTGTACCTCCTCGGGCTTGAGTACCCTTTTCTTGCTAATAGTGTGTGTGTTCTTCAGATCTTCTGATGGCTCTAGCATTTTTGTGACCACGGACCGAGTCTTTGCTAGATTTTGGGATTAGCAACTGACACGAGTTTAATGTGAAGAAAAACAACATTTAGAGTTGTTGTTGCTCACATTAGCTCTAAAAAAAAGAATGTAACAGAAGGGGGGTATAAAGGGCACATTTTTAAAACTCGCATACCTCGGTGCACCATCTGCCGGCCCCCATTCTTTTTTTTTTAATGTTGTTGAACTCTCCGTTAGTTTTCGTTTGAGCACTTCAGCCGATCGGGTCACGCAGCCACGAGATATGGCAAGGTGCCCACCAGCCCCTTGATGTGGGGCATCTTGAGCCTCCTCGGACTCCTGCTGCTAAGCATGGGTCGGCAGAGAGTGGACGCCGCAGCCGCTGAGAAGGCGTGTGAAGCTGTCCGCAGCGGTCTCATGTCACAGAGGGCCGCTGCTGCTGCCTTTGGGTTTGGCAGAACCTCCCTGCAGCGGCGCCTGGGCGGTGTGTGCGCCATGGACGCGAGGGTTGGCCCTGGGCCTGTCATGACCAAAGCAGAGGATGCGGTAGAAGATCTCCTGCTGTACGCTGGTAGAAACTACATTCCTCCCAGCACCGCAGACCTCACGGAACGCGTGAGACTGCTCTGCAACGACGGTCGGTTGATCCCGTGGAACCGTGACAAGGGCCCGGGGAAGGATTGGCTGAGGGGCTTCCTCGAACGGCACGAGCGCGTCAGCAAGTGACTTGCCCGCATCTACGAGTCAAACAGGGTGACCACGCCGGAGGACGAGCGTCTGCACAAGTTCTACGGTTTATGGGGAGAGTTCCTTGCTCAGCACAAGCCGGAGCCCGACCACATTTGGAACACGGACGAGTCCCGTGAGCATAGACTACTGGTGAGACCACTGGTGTAGTGTCAGCAGCAGCTGCTGTGTGATGGTTTGCGGACTTGTTTCTACGTCGTCAGCAGCAGTGCACAGCAGTTTGAAGATTTGGCAGAGTTCTGCTGCTAAATTTTGGAGTTCCCACGCATCCGCAATGCGCATGGTGCACAAGGTGTGCGCAGAGGACCGCTGCTAGATGTACGCTGGGTGCTGTTCGGGTGTCTGTAATAAAGTATGACGGCAGTGAAAACTTGCGCTGCTTGAAGAGAAGGTACATGTTATGTCGGCAGCAAATACATGCGCTGCTTGAAGAGAAGACACATGTTCTTTGGTATCACACACCCGGAGTTGATGTGTGAAGTTGAAGCTACGTGCGGTGCTGCTGCTGTGCGTATCTTACTCACCTTCGACTGCTGTTGCTCTGATTGAAATGAAGCGTACATTTTTTTTACTCAAGACCCTCAGACGAAAGACTAGACTAGACTATTGCACTCCTCACTGCTGTTGTGGTGAAGCAGCTCTGCAGCAGCTCGGGAACAGTTTACACGTGAGGACATTCCACCCTGTCTAGTCTAGACTACCCCTAGCCCGTTCCCCCGCGCCCCCACCCATGGTAGGCTGAACGTTGGTAGTGCGTGTGAGCGCTGTTTATCCTGTTCTTACTCTCCATCCGCTTTGACCCCCCCCATGCGCGCCTTTCCGCCATAAACTATCAATATGGGTGGCACCATTCAAGGTACACAGGGACAGCGGGTCTTCGCGAAACGAGGGCAGCCGGTGGTCCCCGAGATGTGCTCCACCTCGCGAGAAAACTGCACGAGCGTCACTAGCATCAACGCGAACGGCGCCGTGTTGGCCCCTACCATCATCTCCAATGGGCAGCGCTTCAACGCAGATTGGATCGTGGACAACACCGGCCCGCCGGGTGCGACATATACCTGCAAGGAGTCGTCCTTCGTGTGTGGTAACGTTTTTATCAAGTACATCAAGGACTTCCACAAGCAGCTCTGCCTGCCCAACTTGCTCGACGGAGAATCCCATGCGCTCGTGCTGGATGGGCACGCGTCGCACGTGAGCTTGGACGTCGTTGAGTTGACCAGGTCCCTCGACATCCACCCGTCCAGCTGCCCTCCCACATGTCCCACGTCACCCAGCCCTTGGACGTCGCCGGCTTCGGGTGCTTCAAGATGGAGCTGACCAAGGCGATCCAGGCCTTCCCGGCGATACACGGAGGGGCATTGCCGCGGAAGCGGGACATGGCCACCGTGATCGGGNGAGAGGAGAGTAGGAGGGTCGAGCGGAGCGAGAGAGAGAATGGGCGAGGTGCTGGCGTTCTTCGAGCAGGACGAGGGGGGCGAGGGGGGGGCGCGCGGGGGGGCGGGGGGAATGTTGGTGGCCGCAGCGAGGGAACGGGGGGGCGTGGGCGAAGAGGTGGCGGTCCTAGCCGCGGTGGGAGAGAGGCGCAAGGGGCGCGAGGGGCGGGAGGGGTGGGAGGGGCGGGAATCACCGAGGGTCAGCCGTCGGCGTCCGTATCCCGATCGGGACGAACACGGTCGCCGACACCCGTCGTGGATGTCCAGGTGTTTTCGGGAAGGGGTGTTTTCTTGTGCTGATGAACCACATAGTTTCGGGGCAAGGTTATCCCCGAATGGCTTGAAAATGTGTGTGGAACCGGTTTCGAACTATTTTGTATTCAGTATTGGTAACAAACAGCACGGGAGGGGGGGACGGGACGGACGGGTCGACAGTTTATCGAGAAACCCGGGGATGCTGTACTTTTTTCCCCTGGGCTGTTCGTCTGTGTGTGTTTTCTCACCCAACGTGTTTCCTGAAACCTTCAATACGTTTCCGCGCGGGGGAATAATGTGGGTGCAAGTTAGTCGCTTGAACATGTGGCATGGTTTTGGCGGAATTTGCTGCCGTACAAGCCAAAACATGGGGGTAAAGTACCTATGTTTGGACAGGCATAGCACAGTCCATAGGCATCCGATTATCCTTTTTTTTTTTGTGACTTCGAGTAGGAGGCGCACTAGTCGTCACTTCATCAAATTGCTCGGTTGAGCTGTGTCGCGGCCAAACAACGCGCACTACCCCCGAAAAAGGCTATTTTTCGCCCTGCAGAATTAAGCCGAACAACCGGGGATATGGGCATCTTGTCCCCGGCGTTGAACCTATATATATATATTTTTTTTTGTAATCGATTGTTCATTGTACTAAGAGCGTGCGTGCCAAATTTGAGGCCATAAAACTCTTTAGAACCTGCTCAAATCGACCACTACCGTAAGCTGCCCTTATTGCCCGCACGGCCATTTCCCCCGCATTGTTATGTGGAAAATGAAGTATACTTCGAGGACTGTATATCATCGCTACCTCAACTTTTCCATTTTTTCTTTTTTCAACTCGTAGGTTGTGCTACTAGCTATCATGTGATTCCTCAAACTCTTCATAAATCATCGTGGCACCAGAGAACGAGCTGCCGGGGTGCGGGGTGCCTTAAGGTGCCCCAAATACCCTCCGATACTCTATGGGGCATGACCTAAAATAATGGTGTTGATTGATATACTGTAGTCATACCCCATAGAAGCAAGCTTTTCCGTTGTTCCGCCAGATCATCATCCTCTCTCAAGCTCATGAACCAAGCAAATGTCGATGACGTGCAGGCCGTGCTGTCATGGGGTCAACAACAACATCGCTTTGTTTTAGCTTGTACTGGGCCAGCTGGTAAATGTTCCAGTGCCGGAGATGTTGTAGACAGCTAGTGGAGTAATATACTCCAACAACCCAACATCGAACGCCGCACCTCGGTATCTCTGTGTTGTACGAACGTTTGAACTGTTTTTTTCTCATCTTGGCTGGTTTGTCGTCTTGCTGTCCCTGTCTGATCCTCCCTGTTTCGTGCCGGTTAAAAGGTGCTGGTGTCCGGTTTCCGCCGGTATATATTTTTTCGGCGCACACCCCGGCACTAAACAGGGATCTCTGCTGTACAAGTATCTATCTGCACGCTCCGAAATATACAACAAATTATACAGGACGTTAGGGCGGAGCCGGATGTTGTTGTCTTGTCCCCTTGCGACATGACGTACATGTATATATATACTAGGGGGGACGATTGGCCCCCCGCCCCCCAGTAGGGCGGGCGGCCACCATATTTAGCTTCGCGAGCAGGGTCAAGGTTGAAACTCGGAGTCGTGAAATTTTTAGAATCAGAGAAACAGAACATTTAATGTCTTGAAGATGGATTGTAGGCTAATAGGTGGGGCCGAACGTTTCCACGGGAGGAAACATCGTTGAGTAGCTCGTTGTGTGAAAAATACCAAACAAAATCAAAGAACATAGCTCCCATCAATCCTGTCTACAGGCAATGTGTAACATCAACGGGGTCTAACTTCAACATAGTAGTTGTGGTAGTAATAGTAAGGACAGGCACATGAACATATAATACAACACAACGAACCCTATGAGCAGGTACAAAAAGAAAGCGAACAGAAAAGTCTCCTGTGGAGAGCGCCTTCAATGAAGAAGAAGCATCTAGGTGAGAAGATGATAGGTCGGTTCAAACACAGTCATTATGCAGGATTCCAGGATCTATCATTCGAAAAAAAAATAACATTGCTTTCATCAATCCCTGTCTACGAGCAATGTGTAACACCAACGTCGTCTAAACTTAATATCGTCGTCGATGTAGTGATAGTAATGACGGACACATGATGTCACAATAATCATACAATAATATCCGACGGCTACGAGCAGATACAATTACAAAGGCATAACAAAAAGCCGTTCCGTGGAAAACGCCGAACGAAGAAGGAAAACCATCTGAGGAAGAAAATTAAAGGATTTTTCGAAAACATGCAGTCACTCGTCGCTGTCGTTGTTGCTCCCGGAGCCGTCGGAGTCCTCGTCGGAGTCCTCTTCGGAGTCCTCGTCGGAGTTCTCGTCGGAGGCCCCGTCGGAGTCGTCGTCGGAGTCTTCGTCGGAGCTTATGTGCTCGACGTCGTCGATGACGGAATCGGAGATGCCGTTGTCGTCGGTCGATTGGGTTGAACAGCGTTTTTTGGCCTGAGAAGAAGAGGCGCCGCGCTTGCTTGTGTTTGATTCCGTCGGATGATCCTCCACCGGACAAATCAATGGTTTCGTTGGTAAAGGCGAGCGCTCGTCCCACAACGTCGTCGTCCGAAATCATGGCGACTATATTGTAACCCCAACGCGTCTGGTTGAACCAACGCTTCTTTTCGATCGCAGCGAGGTAGGTGGTGTCCAGCAGGAAAGACGATCGAAGTTTCTGAC